TATATAACCATTCAAACATATAAAAAATCCAAATATAGCATGGTTATCATTTAGTTACTTGGTAGCCTATATCAAAATACCATGGTATTTGGCTCCACCATTTTAACATGGTATCATCACAGCATTCGCTGTTAGGGATGTTTAGTACAATACACCAAAACCTGCTGCGTTGATGCCATTTAGAGCATAGACATACAGCTGCGATTACAATACCGAAGTTGAGCACATCATAATCACGGACTTTTATTTTGGCAATTTCGTGAATGCGCCGGTGTGGGTTTTTCCGCGAACATGGAGGCTGTTGTGTCAGATCTTGTGGCACCAGAAGATCTAAAGGTAAAACATTTTATCCTTTACTTTCATGACTGTAAATCCAAAATGACATCGATGTCGTATTGATGTATGTGGTGAAATGACTGATTTCGGGTTTTAATCGGGATTTTCGGCGGACGCGTTTCTACGGTACGCTACTTAATCAAAACAACAACATTGATTATGCATTGATTATTGTAACTCATAGACTTATAGAGTAGACCTACTGTTATACGCCTTTGCTTTTTGATTAAAATACACTTATTTTATCAACTTATTATTGTTATCCTATTATCTCACCTACTATTTGAATGAAATTGATTCCTGCTGTAAAAGTTAGTCTGTGGTTGTCTGCCAGAGGGAGCACGTGATCCCGACATCAGCCATCTACTGATCAGTGTTGCCAATTTAGCAATTTTGTTGCTAAATTTAGCAACTGTTTAGACTACCCTAGCAACTTTTTCTTCCAAAAGCACCTAGCAACGAATTTAAAAAATGTAAAAAAAAATTGCCATTTAAAAAATTTATTTGGCAACTTTTAGCAACTTTTGATAAGTGACTCAGACAATAAAAAGGCACACATTTTCCATCCAAATTACACAAAAAGAGGAAACCAAAGATGCCTAGCAGCACACACATCACGTGAATTAAGTTAGCTGCTATTTGCAATTATTCAATTTAATAATAATAATTTAATAATTGTTCATTTATTATTCACTTTGTTAGTAGCTTGTACCTGTGATTGTTGTTCAGTTAGTACACTGTAAGAAAAATGAAAAAGATACTAGTAATTTTCCAGGACGTTATCCATTATTCACTGTAACCCGAAAACACAATGCGTAATTTAAAATGCAGGTAAAAAACCAATACGGAAAATTATTTCATATTAACATAGTAGATTGTGCCCTATTTTTACAGACTTTTCTTAGAGTGTAGCATACTAACTAACTACTAATACACTGCTTAAAGCATAATTGTTGAGAATGTGTAGTATTACTACTAGTTATTAAAAAAACTTAAATTGTAATCATTTAAAAATGTGTAAGTGTTCAATAATTCAATTTATTGAAAAATACAGTTATTTATATTTTATTATATTATGCATATTATTGTACAAACACATATATAAAATATATTTTTTTTGCTGAGATTTGATGTTGTGACACAATTTTGCATCGTGGTTACGCAATGACGTCATCGCACGATGACATCATAACGTCATTTAGCAACTTTTAGCAACAAACCGACCTTCCTTTAGCAACTTTCTCTGAAAATTAGTTGGCAACACATCTACTGATGCAATGGAGTCAATCTGACTCCCATCAGTCTATTGACAAGAATTGTTGTCTTTCAGAGGTTTGAGAAGAAGTACAACGCTGAGCTGGTGAAAGGACCCGTTTCCAAAGAAACCACGTTTGAGTACGCCTGGTGTTTGATCAGAAGCAAGTACACAAATGACATTGTAAAAGGCATTCATCTATTAGAAGGTCAGTTCTTCAGCATGTCTTTGGTCAGTTACAACCTTCTTGAGCTTCAGCTGTTATTGGTCCGATTCTTGGTTGAAAATTCTGAAAGTGATTCCGTTTTCTTTGAACAGAACTGGTTCATAAAAGCAAAAAAGATGATCAGAGAGATTTCCTCTTCTACCTTGCTGTTGCAAACTACAGACTTAAGGTGGGTTTACATTTTTCTTATTTTGATATGTGATGGTTTTGTCACTGCTGATAAGCATTCTTTATTTCATGACGCCATCCGTGGCATCTAGTTAAAAGAGTGTTTCTCAACTCTGTTCCTGGAAGCCCTGGTACATTGGAGTTTACTGCATAATTTCAAAATCAGATCAATTAAATAACTTTACTGTCACGTCACCGTATAAACAAGTGTAATGTGTAAACGGTTCAATACGGATACCAGATGAAGTAAATGTACAGAGGTGAATCTCACAAAACATGTACATGTCCAAGTCATATTTTACCCCAAAATCAAGGGCATGCATGTTTGAAATACATTACCTTTCGAACGTTTTGGCCAGTAATGTTTTTTGAAAGAATTCTCATTTGCTCAACAATGTTGCATTTGTTTGATCAAAAATATAGTATAAACTGGGCTTAGAGATACTTGGATCATTTTTAATTAGTTTCCATTTAATCTCTCTCTCTTTACCACCTTACTATCGTACTCTCAGGAGTACGAGAGAGCACTGAAGTACATTCGTTCACTGCTGAAGAATGAACCTCATAATAAACAGGCCCTGGAACTGGAGAAACTCATCAACAATGCGCTAAGAAAAGGTGAGATACAACAGCATTTGAACCAGAAAATGGTCTTATTAATTAGGATTTTGTGACACACTACCGTTTAAAAGTTTGGGGTCCGTGCGATTTTGTTTTTTAAAAAAATTAATACTTTTATTTAGCAAGGACTCATTTCATTATTCAAAAGTGACAATTAACATGAATTTTCGCATTGTTCAAATACATTTCTATTTTTAAATAAATTATTTTGAACTTTATATTCATCAAATCCTAAAAAAAAATGTATAATTGTTTCCACAAAAATAGTAAGTAGCACAACTGTTTTCAGCATTGATAATAAACAGAAATGTTTCTGGAGCAAAAAAATCAGCATATTAGAATGATTTTTGAAAGATCATGTGGCACTGAAGACTGAAGTAATGGCTGCTGAATATTCAGATTTGCCATCACAGGAATACATTTCAGTTTTAATTATATTCACTGCCTTTCATTTGTCACAAAGAATAATTGTTCAAGATCCATTTAGAATGAGAAAGCTTGAGATGATGACTGCATTTGCATGCATATCAGAATTTAGTGATTGGTATTCAGTCATGTAAATGCCACAATCATATTGCTGTTTTTCTGTTTACGGCAATTTTTGGATTCCGCAAATTCCAATTACCACCCCAGGAATAAACCAGCTTTAATCAGAAACTTGTTGCATGTAACTTATTCAGAAAATCCACTGCAGTGAAGGAAGTATGTGTGTCTGTGCCGCAAAACCTCCCAGTTTGATGGCAACTGGTTTCATCCCATTCTTCATGATTGCAGATTTTGTGGAATGAGCGTTTCAACATTCTTAAATTGCTTTGCCATTCTACATCTGTAAGCTATAACATCACGGCTTTCTCCTACCAGTCCTTGCTGCAAACTTGCATTCACTCTCTCTTCTTTTGCTGAGTTACCACCACATGACTGCACCTGCCTTTTGACAATTGCCTGATTATTACCATTGTATGACGGTGTTCTCAGGTGTTTTTAAAGGCGAGAAGTGGAGGAGTCCTTATTAAATTATAGACCTGGTTATATTGTCATACCTGCAACAACCACGTTTATGGAAATATTCCAGTGTCTGTATGTGTATAAACATAAATATAGGCCTTAAACTGAATTTTATGTGCATGTAAACAAAACTCAAATTGATAACGGCATAAGCAATAGTGGATTCATCTCAACAAAGAAATCATTATTATTATTATTTTTTTACATGTTCTTTTTCAGATGGCTTAGTTGGCATGGCGATCGTCGGCGGTATCGGTTTAGGTGTGGCCGGATTGGCTGGTCTTATTGGTTTGGCCGTGGCCAAAGGTGCAAAGTCCTAATATGGAGTTCCTGGCGAGCGTACTTTGATTCCGTTCCTCTCCAGAAGAGAGACTTAATGATTTCTTATAATCACATAAAACCATAAGGAGGCCTGTCCCTTTTTATTTTGTATTTTTCTGCCATGAGTTTCATAATGAGCTATCATATTTTACCACATTTCTTTTGCTTTATGATTCTCCAGCTCTTTCTGTTATGTATAGATATGTGGGGTTGGAATAAAGTAAAAAAAAATTATGTTTTCCCTCTTTTCATTTTTCAAAGAAAATTCAACTACAGAGGTTTCCCAAGGATTTGCAGTACAGAATAAGATGTATTGTATTAGTATGCACTTTTGGGGTTTTCTCTTTTTTAATTAAATATATCAATCTACTTACACTATAGATAATCAATATGGAACATTTTTGATGAACTACATTAAAACTGTTAATAAATTCAAATTTGTGCTTACTGAACTTGTAAGGTGTGTTTACATGCGTTGCACGTTTGATTTGGAAGTGTCATGCACGACCAGCCTTGTAATGCTTTTTCTTACAAGTCATCGTTGTCAGCACCTTGTTTATTACCCAGGGGTTAACATGTGCTGTCAAGCGTTTCATCTTCCCTTCCTTGTGTGTTCTCTGTGACTTTTTGTAATCTATGCTCATTTTATACTGAAACATTTGCAAAGAAAAAGCACTTTTTCCCAGTGTTTTCTTTGTCCTCCACACATTGTTAAGATGAACAAGAGACTGGAGTCAAGTCCATCATTCAACAAAACAAGGTATTTTAAGTCTGAAAGAGACTAATGAAGGGATTTTTTATATTTTTTTTATTTTTTAGTTGGATATGCATCATGCAAGTCTTAAAATTATTTAGTCAAAATATCTGGGAATCAAGGTGAGAAGAACATAGATTACTTTAATTTTGAATGCGGTCTGAAGCTGCTGGTTAAATAGTCACTCACAAAGTCGTTGTCCTCCGTGCATCATTAGCTCAGACGCTCTCAGATGTGGGAGTATCTCCAACGTTGATTTAAGTCAACAACTATCAGGCCTTGAAAGTATAATAATAGCTGATAATGGCATTCAATTTAATGTACAATTTGTACTTCCCACATGATTCAACTAAGGGACTAATTAATTATTAATAAGGGACTTACGCACATCATCTCAGCTTTACAATGCTGTCTTTATGGTTGCCATTAGTACCATCATTTTATAACACAATATTGTGGTTACTAATTAACCGGTAAAGCAAATGATGAAAAGAAGTCTGATGCACAGGCTATTCTTTCTCCTATTTGCCTGTGTGTGGGACTTTGCTGGTGCTTTGTTCTATTGGATGTTTCCAAACTTTGTTGAGACTAATTGTAATTAGCACTAAAATAAAAGGGAGAACAAACTAGTGAATTGAGATGTGAGAAAAACAAAGATTCAAGTCAAGTTCAGACTCGGACTCAGAAAAAATGTGCAAAACTGTCACTGGGACGGTACCCTTTTAAAAGTTACTAATGTGTACACTTTAGATGCTAATATGTAGTTTAAGGTATTCATATTTAGCATTTAGTGGTTAGTAAGGAACAAGGTTGTAGCTTTTGATACTGCCTCGGTTACAGCTTTGCACCTTTTTTCCTGAGAGTGCATTTCATCCCATGAAAGTCACATTTGTTTTGTACATCTGATTGATTGTCATTTCTCATATTGATTTTGATATAGTAAATAGAGAATAGAATAAATATTCTATTGATGCATTTGTTTATTACAGCAAATCCAAGTAGCCCAATTCAACAGTGCAAGTTTGATTGAAACATGTAGGGGCATTTTAGTATCAGTCAAACAATATCAATGCACATGTTTTTCCTTGTTATTTAATAATAGTTTTTGATTCGGCTCACCTCTTGATGTTAAAGAGATCATAAAAAAGATTTACAACCGCCTGGGTTCAGAGCTCAATCATAATTTTCTTCCTTTCTTTGTTTACACATTACAAATTTGCTTAAAGCAATTACACAACACTCTCTGTGTACAATAGTCAATTAAATATCCCCACAGTTTATTCTTGTTTACGCACATCTATTATATTTGTCTTGTCCACTACGATGTCACTGTAAAAAAAAATCTGTGACATTTACGGTAAAATACCGGCAGCTGTGGTTGCCAGAACTTCACCGTACAAAATATGGTAGCAACATTTCAGGTTTTACAGACTTGACTTAAATTCACAATAAAATACCGTATTTCATTAACTGATGTAATGTTAATAAACCAACACATTGAAGTACTAATATCTCTTTTGAACCATTGTAATGCACTGATAACCACCAAAAACTGGTGGTGATGAGAAAGTCACATGATGAGCCAAAGCTCATCATAAACAGCTTTTCTATGAGCTGAGGAGGGCAATACTTATATATAGAAGGTGCACAGTGTCATTCACACTAACACTAAACCCCATCACAGTGACACACTTGATACTGAAATAATGCAATAAACATTAATTTAACAACATTAGATGCAAGATTAAACCCTAATGTGCACAACTGATAAGAAAAAACTAAGAAATGTTGAATGTTATCCTGTTAATTGGTTATCAGTAAGTTTCCATACTATATACGGTGAATAAATGTAATTACATTTAACGTAATTTTACAGTAAAATGCTGTTAAAAATACGGTTTTTGGAAGTGAAAAAGAAAAAGTAAATGTATAATTTACTTTTTCTTTTTCACTTCCAAAAACCGTATTTTTAACAGCATTTTACTGTAAAATTACGTTAAATGTAATTACATTTATTCACTGAATATATTATGGAAACTTACTGTTAACCAATTAACAGGTTTTTACTGTAGCATTTTTACAGTCTTTTACTGTTAACATCACAGTCATTTTTTACAGTGTACCCAAATTACACCCATGACTCAATCCTGCTCCTGAAAATCAGCCTTCCTACAGAGACAACAAACATATTTTTACCAGGTAGTCGAATGTGTTAGATTTTACATGACACTATGACAATTAAATTACGCGATCTTATTTAAACACAGCAAACTTGGCAAGGATCCTACTCTCAGAAAAAAAAGGTACAAAGCTGTCATTGGGGTGGAACAATTTCAAAAGGTATACTTTTGTTCCGTTTAGGTACTAATATGCACACTTTAGGTACTAATATCTACCCTTTAAGTTACCAATATGGACCCTTTAGGTACAAAGGTGTACGTTTTGAAAAGGTACTGCCCCAGTGACAGCTTTTTTACTTTTTTTTTTTCTGAGAGTGAGAGCTGAATTAACCCTGCCGAGTTTGCTGTATGTGTTAGAGCAGGGTTTGAACTGAGTATAGATTTCCACGTTCAGGATTCAGCATCACTGCAAAAAGTCTGCTTTCTAACAGAACTATTTTATGAGCTCTTTTTATGGTCCCCATAAACGTCAGATCATTGAAAGTGTCATCATTGGTTTTAGGAGATGCATAACCATGTGGGAAAACTATTGTGTTTGTTAAGGAACCATTAAAGTTGACTTATAGCAATAGTCAAGCAAGCTAGTCATAAACCTGACCTTTAAAACCGAGAACAATCATCTGCTTATCACACGCAAACAATTCAACAGCGGCAGCACCTAGTCTAACTTTTGTCCTGTCATTGCTCACGTTACATGTGAAAGAGTTAAAAAAATTTTATTATCAACATATATTTGTTACATTAACACATTATAAAAAAGCAATGAAATCAAATTGTAGATGATGCATTTTAATGTATTATATTTATGTATGTATTTACAGACAGACAGATAGACAGATAGATAGACAGATAGATAGATAGATAGATAGATAGATAGATAGATAGATAGATAGATAGATAGATAGATAGATAGATAGATAGATAGATAGATAGATAGATAGATAGATAGATAGATAGATAGATAGATAGATAGATAGATAGATAGATAGATAGATAGATGATATATAGTTAGGCTAACCGAGACTTGTCATTTGCACTTATATATTGTTGCTCTTTTGTTAGTTTTGACTGCTTTTATTGTCCTCATTTGTAAGTCGCTTTGGATAAAAGCATCTGCTAAATGACTAGATAGATAGATAGATAGATAGATAGATGTGGGGTGTTACCGGTATGTAGTTAGTACCTAAACTGGTGCAAGGAAGGACACCGGTAAACAATGTCTGAAGCAATCGAATAAAGTAGCCTGGTCTGATGAATCGTGTTTAGATCAGGTTGGTGGTCAGGTACATGTGTTGTTTACCTGGGGAAGAGATGACAACAGGATGAGAAGAAAGCAGATTGGTGGATGCAGTGGATTGCTCTGGGCAATATTCTCCTGTGTGAAAGCTTGGATCCTAGCGTTTATGTGGATGTTACTTTGACATGTTTTTTGATTATTGCAGACCACATATACCAGGTGTTTCCTAATGGCAGTGGCCTCTACACATATAGATGAATTTACTGCATTTGATCCTTTCTTTCTACATATTTTACAAAGCCATGTATTGCAACATACTTACTTCCTTTAACTGGGAATCGATTTGAGAATCAGCATGTTCACCTTCCAAGATACGGTTTGCCATTTTGCCTATTTCCAGTACAATTCACTCAAAATATCTTAGTCTCACGACAATAAAATAAGTTAATCACTTATAGGTCTTTGTACAGTAAGGATAAGTGATAGTTATCTGGCTATTAATGGTGTTTGATGTTTAAAATCAGTAGGCTATGTGTTGTTCAGAGGGATTTCAGAATTATCTGGATACTTATTATCAAATCTGAAAGTTTTAGTTATTGCCACATGAACTTCAGCCTCTGGTGTGTCATATTTTGTTAACATCTTTTCTTCACAGATGGCAAATTTTTCATTAAGCCATTAAACATTAATGGAAGAATTTAAACTTGTCGAAGATCTTTGTAGGCATTTCTGTGATGTCATCATGTGACTAAATTCTATTTCTTGTTAATGTTGACATATAATGCAATACTTGTTTTAAAATATTGTCTGCAGTTATAGTAATCTTTTTGTAATAAATTGTTTGAATATATCATGTGTATAAAGAGTTGTAGAATCTATTTGTGGCTGGTTCATTGGGTAGTAAGATGTATCTCCTTAGAATTGTGAAGTACTCATATCTAGGGTATTACTATTTCATGTAAGTATTCATCTTATATGTAGTGCTGACAGTATTTTTGTTTCTTATTTATGTTTTGTTCAGCTCTGGTTTATGTATTTATTTATTTTTTGTGTGTGTTGTTGTTTTGAAAATCTAATAAAAAGAAAATAAAAAATATATATATTGTGTATTAAAGGGTTAGTTCACCCAAAAATGACAATTCTGTCATTAATTAATATTCTGTTACACCAAATACACAAAATAATGATCTTTAAAAAAGGATCATATGACCCCTTTAAGTTGAACACGATGTTTATCTTTTTTTCAACCAGAGCAGTGGAGTTGTTCACCATTTACCTAATCATGTCACAATGAGTTTATCTTCACTTTATTTTTATTGACCTTTGTTTACATGCAAAATGTTTAATTACGTATATGTGTCTGTACTGTGTTTAAGTCTCCTCACAAGCTTTTCAGATAAAGCAGATAAAGGCAGCAGATAAACACTGTCAACAGCTTCTTCAGTTGTTCATTTAATCGCTGCACCCAGTAGTTCCCCTTTTCCCTCTTCTGATAGTGTCCTCTGAAGACAATTCCAAAACATTTTGCTAAACGTCTAGTAGCCTATTAAAATCCACTAAAACCACTAAAATCTGTTATTAATAGGCCAGATTAATGTTTGAAAGGGTTTCAGAAATTTGGTTTAGTCACTGCTTGTTTAATTGACATGTTCCATATACTTTGTAACATATAAAAGCACTCAGTTTTACTATTAGCTGGCTCTTATTTGTCCCAATACCAATTGTTTTGATTTTAGTCTTTATAGCTATTCATTTATGGTTACCATTCAAAAGTGTGAGGTCAGTATTTTTTTAAACTTTAAAGAAATCTTACTTTTTTATTTTATTTAAAGGGGTCATATGATGCGATTTAAATTTTTCCTTTCTCTTTGGAGTGTTACAAGCTCTCGGTGCATAAAGAAGATCTGTAAAGTTGCAAAGACTAAAGTCTCAAATCCAAAGAGATATTCTTTATAAAAGTTAAGAGTCAGCCACGCCTACCTAAAACGGCTCGTTCTAACACGCCCCCACATATCTACCTCACTATGTGGGAAGATTTGCATAACGCTGCCCAAATGTTCACGCAAAGAAAGAAGGCGTAACTTTTATTCTCACTGTAGTATTGTTGTTGCCGCCGCCATGTCGTGAAGGCGCTGTGTGTTTCATTGTGAAAGCGAAACTACTTTGTTTGGTCTTCCAAAAGAGGACGATATCTGCTTCGTCGTGCCTGGAGCTGATCCGTGCTGGTTGCTGAGGAAATACATCAACTTCTCGCTGTGGATCACCGGATCGGCTTTCACCGTGAACGAAGCAGAGTCCAGCCCGGGGTCGTCACATGTGGTTGCCGCAAGCCTCCTTAGTCGAATCCGCCAGCCGCGCTGTTATCAAGCCCACCGGCCTCTGCTCACTCAAGCCGGCCTCCGCATACTCAAGGCGCTGTGTGTTTCATTGTGAAAGCGAAACTACTTTGTTTGGTCTTCCAAAAGAGGACACGACTAGAAATCAGTGGTTAAAGTTGTATTTACAAGTTTAACCCAAATATTCAGATGTGTCCAGCGCATTTTATGGAGGACTGTTTCCTGATCCTGGGAGAGTAGCCTACAATGCCGGCTGTTCTGACTCACAGACTGTAAGAACGTTTTTTATATTTAAAGGATTTGCCACTGATGATTCAAACGCACATTTTGGGCAGCATAAACACATTTCATTACACCAAATACACAGAATAATGTTCTTTTTAGCAGCATCATATGACCTATGAGTTTAAGTTTTAAACAGCGCCAAAACAGCATTTGATTTATTGTTTGAATACTGCAATGCAATGGACAGCGTTTGCAATCTGAGACTTTGTTTCATATTAAAAGTACCAAAGCACAATGCGTATTGCGATTTATTGGATGGGAGGTGCCCTTCAGTGTTCCGTCCATTAACAGAACACAGGCTAGAATAATTGATTCTTGGGATTTAAGAATCGATATCGTTCCATAAAAAAGAGAATCGATTAATATCGAGATATCGATATTTTTTACCCAGCCCTATTTTACAGTGTGCAATGTGTTTGAGTCCATGAAACATAACGGATGCACTGCCAGTGAAGGTCAGGGAACGACCATTGGACTTTAGTGATAACCACCTGTTGAGTTTCGGGGTGTAAAATGCATGCACCACACGAGAGGGGAGGGCAAACAGAGCCTATAAATGACCCATCGCTCCTTTTAACAACACATTTCATATGTCACACTGCTGTAATCTCGATCTCCATGGAAAAACTGGCTCAGCTCGAGAAATTAATAAAATCTGGATATTTCTCATAACTTTTCAGCCAACGCTGAACACATTTGGAAAACAACTACATAAAGCAGAGAAACTCATAAGAAATACTAAGGCAGATTGTGGATGACTTTGGCCCCTGTGTAATCTAAAGCAGCCATGGATCCGGTTATTGAAGTCGTTGCTTTGATCCTAGGCGTTGTGAGTTGGATAATGGTTGGCGTCACAATCCCGAACCGTTACTGGAAAGTATCCTCGTTAGACGGGACAGTGATCACCACCTCAACCCTTTACGAGAATCTGTGGATGTCCTGCGCCACGGACTCGACGGGAGTGCACAACTGCCGCGAATTTCCCTCTCTACTGGCCCTGTCTGGTAGGACAAACATCACCATACTTTACTTACTAATAATTTCATTATCAGTTGTAGCAATGTGATATCAGCCACCACTATAAATACATTTGCTTTTGGCGGAAATGTGGTTACCATTATTATTTTTTTCCTTACAACTTTGTGTGTTTTGGAATAATTTAAAGAATTTCTTTCTTTCTTTCAATATTTAATTTTTGTTAATGTATTTGTTTACTGCTATTTACTATTTATTTATTTTCTTTGTCAGTCTGATTTAGGCTATTTGTCTTATAAATGTATTTATGTCTTATTTATTTAAAATATACAATGTCGCAAATGTACAGTGTAACTATTTTATAGCCTACTTTTAAATTCAGTTGACTTTCCTTCCTTCCTTCCTTCTTTTATTTATCCTTTCAATATTTTATTTTTGTTTATTTTAATTATTCATTATTATTTTTTTCCTCACAACTTTGTGTTTTGGAATAATTTAAAGAATTTCTTTCTTTCTTTCAATATTTTATTTTTGTTTATTTGTTTGTTTACTGCTATTTACTATTTATGTATTTTCTTTGTCATTCTTTTATTTACTTATTTACTAAATAATTATTTTTTTTTATATCTATTTGACTTTCTTTATGCTGTTTATTTCGTGTGGTTATTGATTTATATATAATCCTATATTTTTTTTTAAATACTGTATTCAGATCTTTTAGTAGGTTTGTTAATATTGTAATATAATAGTACATCTTTCTGTTTCCCCAGGTTATATCCAGGCGTCCCGCGCTCTTATGATCGCGGCAGTGGTGGCTGGCTCATTCGGCATGGTGGCCACCCTCATCGGCATGCAGTGCTCGAAGGCCGCCGGTGACAATTACGTACTGAAAGGCAGAATCGCCGGAACCGGAGGCGTATTTTTCCTGCTGCAGGGTAGGCCTAAGGCGCATTACTAATTAAACTCAACCATGACTGAATGTGCTTTTCAGGCTGTCTTTTAAGAGTTCTTATCAGATTCACATTCCGAAAGCTTTATTGCTATTGTAACTGTTAATCTTTATGTTTTTAATCCCATCCAAAGGTTTGTGCACGATGATATCAGTGTCCTGGTACGCGGCCAACATCACTCAAGAGTTCTTCAACCCGCTTTACCCTGGCCAAAAGTAGGCGCTCTACTGGAAATTAAAAGGGAAATGCTTCCTCCTGCTGTTTTATTTAATACTCATTTACTGCTCTCATCGAACAGCTGTTGGTGGTGCTCACACACAGTTTTATGAAGTATTAAAGTAAGAATTAAACTGCCGACTATAACTGAATTACCTCGGCTGTGCTTTACTATAGGCCTACATGTATTTGAACACTCTCAGAAAAAAGTACAAAAGCTGTCACAGTGGTGGTACCTTTTCAAAAGGTACAAATATTTACCATTAAGGTACTAATGTGCATGAAATAAGGTACAAACGTGTACCTTTTGGAAGGGTATCCCAGTGACAGCCTTTGTACCTTTTTTTTCTGAGAGTGAATGATAGAAACTCCTGTGTTTGTGTAAAGTTTGACTAAATTTAGTTTGAGTGAAACCTATGCACGTTAGACTGAACATGTTATTTTTGTGGTGTGTTATAGGTATGAGATTGGAGAGGCTTTATACATCGGCTGGGCCTCTGGTGTTCTTGCCATCTGTGGTGGAGCTTGTCTCATGTTCTCCTGCAAATTAGGCACAAAGGAGAAGGCGTGAGTTTCTTTGTCACAATCACTTAAACTCACTCACACACTTCTCTTTCGCATACTTTCTCGCTTCTCATTTTGTCATATAAAACATTTTGCCCATTCTTGTTATTTTATGCATTTGTGCTTGTGTTTGGGGGCATGTTTCTTACATTCTGCATCTTCTCTTGCAGTTACTACCAGCCCACACGTGAAACAGTTTACTCAGCATCCGCATCCAGGAGAGATGCTCAGAGCACTTATGGAAGAAATGCCTATGTCTGAATGAAGCAATTCTGGTCAATTTCATGGCCAAACAACATTATATTACATTACATTAATAGTTGACTGTTAATATTCTGTCTAGTGATGTTTTATCAGTGCAATTATGTAAATATGTATACAGTACCAAACGCACAGGTGGTTTTGTGGCCACCTAAGGATAAGTCATTAATCAAGTAAAATGTTACCATGTCAGTTTTGCTGTGCAAAAACACCTCAGAGAACATTATACAGAATGAAAGAGTTGAAATTCAATTTTGTTTAGAATTTAGAATTTTGTTGCCGTTACGTGAATCAAGATTTGAAAAAAAAAGATTTATAGTATGTTAATTTTTCTTGTCTCCATTTATTTGTACAAATGACCTTTTTTATGATGATTTTATGGTTTTATATGATGTTTTATACAAACAATAAACAAACACGACATTAAAAAGGGCATTATGCATTGAGAATATTTTATTGTTTGACCCAACACACTAATTACAATAATACAACATTTCATATTTTATTGTATTCTTACAAAACTTGATCATTTACACTATTAAATAAAATCCTATAGTATTCTGGTTTTGCATATCAGTAATAATAGCATGGAAGCCATGGTTACCATGGTAAATACTTGAAAGGCTCTATTCTATTCTATTTTAAGCTTCTTACATTGTTTAAAGAGCGTCCCAGATTAATTTATTTCAAATGTTAGTACTAAGTAAAGTAATAATTATAAATGAAAAAAGAACATGACATTAAAAATGCCATTATGTATTTGGGAATGTTTTATTGTTCAACACAGTTTCTACAATAACAACAATACAAAATATCACAATTCATTTTATTCTCTAACAAAACAAATTTACACTAATAAAATCCTATATTTATTCTGATTATACATATTAACAATAGCAGTTAATTTTAGTAATAGAAACCACGGTAAATATTTGATGGGGTCTATTCTATTCAATTCTATTTTATTCAAGCTTTTTAGTTTGAAGTAGGTCACATTATTTTATTTATTTGTTTATTTTTATCTATTTATTTTATTTTCAGTAATAATGATAACTTAAGTGTAGTACGGCAATTTGGTCGAAACCATTGTTACCATTTCTATTCTGTTCTTTTAAGCTGCATTCTGTTCCGTAATGCTATAAAACAGCACATATTCATAACAGAACAGAGTATAATATAATACAAATGCATTAAACAAGCCATGAAATGCCACAACTCAAATAATAACCATGTTTAACATGGTACATATTTGAAAATCTCACTGTTCCTACACTGATTTAATTTATTTGTATTTTATAAAATATAATAGTAGAACTTAAGTGCAGTGTGGTATTTTGGTGGAAGGTTAACATGGGACATTTTATAAACTCCTATTCTTTTCTGTTGTGTTGTATAATGCTGTAAGAACATAATGCATAGAATAGAATAGAATAGAATAGAATA